ACATACTTGTTAGGAAAATAATCCAAGAAGAAGAGATAACAATCATAAATGTATATGCACCAAATATCAGCATACCCAACTACATAAAACAAACACTAATGGATATGAAAAATCAGATAAGGACTAATACAGTTGTAATGAGGGAATCTTAATACCTTACTGTCACAAATAGATCAACTAATAGAAAAATCAGCAAATATCAAAGCTGAAGCAAGCTTTTGAATAAATGGACTTAGTAGATATCTATAGTGTTCCACCCAACATCAGCAGAATACACATTTTTCTCAGCAGCACGTGGGACTTTGTCCATACCACATACTAGCTCATAGAGCATGCTTAAGTAAATGCAAAGGAATTGAGATTATCCAATATATATTATCAGAGCAGAGTGCAATGAAATTGGAAATCAGTTGCAAAAGAAACCACAAAAACTACATAAACACATGGAAATTAAATAACACCCTTCTAGGACCTGGGATTTAGCTCAGTGGTTTTGCCGCCTGCTGTGCAAGCGCAAGGACCCAAGTTCAATCCCCGGTACCAAACAAAAAATCCAGAAGAGCATCAATACCTACTTTAACAACCTGTATTCCATTCCATTGCCTGCCTCGCAAGCACAAGGTCCCAAGTTAGATCCCCGGTGCAAAAAACCCCCAAAAACCTGTATTCCACTAAGATGGAACACTCAGAAGAAATGGACAGATTCTTATGTACTATGAATTACCAAAGCTGAATCAAGAAGATACAAAAGTTCTAAATAACCCAATATCAAGTCAGTGAAATTGAAGTAATAATAAAATAACCACCAACACAGAAAAGGCAAGGTCCTGATGAATTCACTACTGAATTCTTCAAGAAATTTAGAGACAATCTTAGTGCCACTGCTCCTTAAAGTCTTCGATGAATTTGAAAGGGAAGCAATAATCCCAAACATTTTTGGAAGCAAGCATTGTCCTAATACAAAAACCAGAAAAGGGTCCAACCAGAAAAGAGAATTACAGGCCAATCTCCTTAATGAACATAGATGCAGAAATCTGCAGCAAATCATCAAAAAGATTATATACCGTAATCAAGTAGGATTCATTCTGTGGATGCAAGGATGGTTCAACATATGCAAATCAATAAATGCAGTACACCACATTAACAGAACCAAGGACAGAAACCACACATTCATCTCAATAGATGCAGAAAAATCATTTGACAAAGTCTTGACACCCATTCATGATAAAAACCCTACAGAAAATTAGGTCTTTCATATCAGTCTGATAAAAATCACCTGTCACAAATCAACAGCATACTCAATGATTAAAAACTGAAAACTTGCAGTGTAAAATCAGAAAGACAAGGATGCCCACTATCATGATTGCTGTTCAATATTGTTCTGGAAACATTTACCAGAGTAATTAGATAAGAGAAAGCAACAAAAGGAATCTGGATAGGAAAGGAAAAATGTGAATTATTATTTGCTGATGACATGATACTCTACATAGAACACCCCAAAAATTCCATCAAAGATTCCAGAATTAATAACCAAATTTGGCAGTGTACAAAGTCAACATTCAAAACTCAATAGACTTAAAAAAAAAACTCAATAGACTTCCTGTACATGAATAACAAACTTACTGAGAAATTAGGCAAAGAACAGCTTTCACAATAGCATCAAGAAAAATGAAATACTTAGGAATTAACCTAACCAAGGAAGTGAAAGGCCTGTACAATGAAAACTATGCTAGTATGAAAAAGGAGATGGAATAGGATATCAAAAAATGGAAAGATGAGTTGGGGATTTAGCTCAGTGGCAACATGCTTGCCTTGCAAGCATAAGGTCCTGAGTTTGATCCCCGAAACTGCTTAAAAAAAAAAAAAAAAGGAAGGATATCCCATGTTCTTAGATAGGCAGAACCAATATAGTGAAATTGGCATACTTCCAAAACTTATACAGACTTTTTTTTTCTTTTTCCTGTACCAGGGATTGAACTCAGGGCCTGCGCTTGTGAGGCAGGTACGTTGCCACTGAGCTAAATCCCCGGCTCTTTATAGACTTGATGCAATCCCAGTCAGAATACTGATAGCATACCTCACAGAACTAGAGAAAGCAATCCTAAAATTCATATAGAACCAGAAGAGACCTAGAATAGCAAAAGCAATTCTGGACAACAAGGGCAAGGCAGGGGGCATTGCAGCCCTCTATTTGAAGTTATGCTACAAACCTGCCATGATTAAAAACAGCACAGAACTGGGAAAGAAAAAAAACAGTCTTGAGGTTCAGTGAAAAAGAATGGTAGATGCAGAAACAACTCTAGGCACTCTCAGCTACCTTATCTTTGACAGAGGGGCCAAATATATAAACTGGAAGAAGGATAGCCTCTTTAATGAATGGTGCTGGGAAAACTGGCTTCCCACATGCTGAAGATTTAACCTAGACTTGTATCTCTCTCACCACGCACTAAACTAAAATGGAAATGGATCAAAGCTCTAAATATTAAAATAGAAACACTAAGTCTGCTGGAAGATAGAATTGGTAAAACTCTTGAAGATGTGGGTGCAAGAACAGCCTTTTTGATCAAAACCCCAATTGCAGAGGAAATTTGTTTTTGTTTTGTAAAATAGGGTCTCACTATGTAGTTCAGGCGGGCTTTGAACTCATAGTGATGCTCCTACCTCAGCCTCCAAAGCACCCAGAATTACAAGCGTGCACCACAACTGCTGGTTCCACACAGGAAATCCAAAGAATCAACAACTGGGATATCATCGAATTAAAAAGTTTTTGCATAGTAAAAGAAACCACCAACAGAGTGAAGAGACACCCCACAGAATGGGAAAAAGGTTTTACCAGTTACTCTCAGACAAAGTAGTAACATCTAGAATATGTTTTTTTATGAGATCTTTGAACTCAGAAATCAGACCTTCCAAATTTAAAAGACCCAGTCGAAAAGTGGGCATTTGAAATGAATAGACATTTCTCAGATGAAGATGTACAAGGAGCAAATAAATATATGAAAAAATGCCCAGCATCCCTGTTCATTTGAGAAATGCAGAGTAAAATGATACTGAGATTTCATCTCCAGATAGAACAGCTATCATCAGGAAATCAACCAATAACAATTGCTGATGAGACTGTGGGGTAAAAGGAATCCTCTGTTGACGATGGGAGCATAAATTGGTACAACCACTATGAAAATCAGTATGGAGATTCCTCAAAAAGATAAAACTAGAGTTTCCATTTGACCCAGCTGTGCCTCTTCTAAGTATCTTCCTGAAAGAGTTAAAAGTATCATACTACAGTGAAATATGCACAACCATGTTTATAGTGGCACAATTTATAATAGCTAAATCTTTGAAACAGTCCATATGCCCATCAACAGATGAATGCATAAAGAAATTATATTTATACATAGTGGAGTACTGCTTTGGCACAAAAAAGGATAAAGTTGAGGCATTTGTAGGTAAATAGATGCACCTCTTGACCATAGCTTTAAGTGAAATAAATCAGACACATTTAAATATCGCATTCTCTTGTGGGACAAATGCAAAGGGTAAGGAGCGAAATGATAGATATTGGTAAGGGAGAGGGGAAGGGGAAGAGAAGGAAGGGAAAAGGAAAAAATAGAAAACATGGAAACAAAGCTTGTGTAAGTGGGGAGTGGAAGAAGGGTTGAAGGGAGAGGAGGAGAATGAAAAAAAAAAAGAATAAGGTATGTTATGTATAGGTATAAATTACCTAAGATGAATGTGATCAGTATGTATGACAAATATGTATTAACAAAAAATAAAGTTTGAAAAAATACAACAAATGCTGACAAGGGTTCAGGGAAAAAAGAACCCTTCTACACTTTTGGTGGCAATGTATATTAGTACAACCATTGTGGAAATCTATATCACTCAAAAAACTAAAAATAGAAATACCATTTGATCCAGATATACCACTCCTTAGTAAATTCCCATAAGAATGAAATTCCCGTAAGAATTAAAGATAGCATAGTGTAGTGATACATGCATACCCATGTTGAAGTTGCAGCACAATTTACAAGAACTAAACTGTGGAAACAGTCTAGGTAAGTGGATAAAATGTGGCATATATACACAAAGATATCAACATAATGAGTGCATTAAAATGTGATTTATACTTACACAGTGGAATATTATTCAACCACAAAGAAGAATGTCATTTACAGGAAAATGGATGGAATTGGAGACCCATCATGTTAAGTAAAACAAACTGACTTAAAAAGTTAAATATCACATGTTTCCTTTAATATAAGCAATCTGAAAAAAGTGATAGGAAACTAGAAGGTAGACTTTTGGAATGGGTAGCAGGATAATGGAGATGAAAATAATCAAAGAATATTATATGCATGTACCAATATACCAAAACAAATCTCATTTTGTATTACTTATAGCACCAATGAAAAAGAATAGAACTTGTGCAGAAAATAAAATTACAAGTGACTGTTGCCCAAAAATGTTATGTTGAATAAAATAAACTAAATCTACAACAGTTATCCTTTATGAGGACCTGAACAGTGTTGCTTTAGAGGAGACAGGAAGGGAATAAAAGTTCTCCCTCAGAGACTTTCTGTATTAACAAATCATATTCTGTCATGTCAGCCTGTTTTCTTCACAAGGACTGTTCTCTAACTGGAATATAATCTTGAAAGCCAGGGCCATTTATATACTGTTACTGCTCTATTCACAGTGTTTGCAGCCGTGTCTGACACATGATAGTATTTGTTGACTACATTTATCCGTGTACTTTTTAACATACCTAAATTCTGGGATTATTGATACTGATAGTGAGAGTCTTTTGATTTGGGTGTATGGTTTAAGGAAGTCCGTTTATTTACTAGGGTGGGAGGAAATAAAAAGGTCATAAATCAATAAAATAATGAAATTTTTAGGGATACCTGCTTCTCAGTAAAAATCTCAAAGTATTTTGAAATTAAATTGATTTGAGGGCTTAATATCTCAAATATTTCAATGGTTTCTGTTCTTTTACATAGTCCTCTCAGCAAAACTTAAAGAAAATAAAAAGAATTGGTTTGGACCAAGTCCTTATGTGGAAGTGACAGTAGACGGACAGTCAAAGAAGACAGAAAAATGTAATAATACGAATAGCCCCAAATGGAAGCAGCCACTTACAGTGTAAGTTTGAAAATATTTCCAGGATCATATTTTGTTTAATTGATGAGCAGAAATGTAGCTTTAATGTACTGTTACTTTGCTTCTCCTTTTTATCTTTCACCTTTTTCCCATGTCTTCCTAAAACTATTTTCTCTGATCTTCTATTAGTTTCTCTTTAAATATTTTCCTTGTATTTCAAGTCTCTCTTTTGTTACCATCCCCAGTCGAGCTGGTGATTGAATCCATTGAACAAGTGGAGGGCCTAAGTCATGGTACTAGAAAGATTTAGAGTAGCCCTCTTCTTTTTTTTTGTGCTGGGGATCAAACTCGGGACCTTGCGCTTGCAAATCAGGTGGTGGAATCACTGAGCTAAATCCCCGGCTCTAAGAGCAGCCCTCTTCTTAACTTGGGATTTAATTAAGGGGTTGTAAGTAGCTTACTTTATTTTTTAACTTAATTTTTAAAAAATAACTTTCTATGACACCTGCCTGGCAAGCGCAAGGTCCCGAGTTCGATTCCTGGTGCCAAAAAAAAAAAAAGAAAGTTTCTACCCAGGTGTGGTGGCACATGCCTGTAATCCCAGCACTTGGGAGGCAGAGGCAGGAGGATCACTACAAATTCAAGGCCAGCTAGGAGTAAGCCCAAGGCCAGCCCGAACTACATACCAAGCCCTTGTCTCAAAAAAAGAAAATTTGTTTTTAAATTGTAATGTCCCTACAACCAACATGTTGTCTTCTATTTTAAAAATTAAATATACCTTTATTCTGTAATTTTGTTTTTATACTAACAGTTGTATCATTATTTTACTGAGTATATTCAGGTGTAATATAGCTACATAAAATTAATTTATATGTTTCTCTATTTCTTGTTTGCTTGTAGCAAGCAGTGTGGATAAAACTCAGAGGCATTCTGACACTGAGCTATATCCTAGGTCTTTTTATTTTGAAACAGGTTCTTGCTAAGTTGCCTAGGCTGGCTTCAAACTTGTGATCCTTCTGAGTAGCTGGGATTATAGGCATACCTCTGCAGTCAACTACTTTTGGGGGTTAGTTTTGTTTTGTTTTGTTTTTGGTATGGAGGATCGAAATCAGGATCTTGCAATTGCGAGGCAGATGCAGTGCCACTGAGCTAAATCCCTGGCCCTTTGTTTTGTTTTTTGAAACAGAATCTCTATCTAGTACAGGTTGGCCTGAAAATCACTATGTAGTCTAGGCTGGTCTCGAACTTGTGGCACTCCTCCCACCTCAGCCTGGCTGTTTCCATAATAGTTCTTAATATTGATAACCTGTAAGTTTTAAAAATTAATTTAGTTTCATATTGATTGATTAGTGTCTAATTGTATTTTCCCCAGTACTGGGAATTGAGCCCAGGGGCCACACAGCTACATCACAGTCCTTTTTAAAAGCATTTTTTTGAGACAGTCTACTTTAGTTGCCCAGGTTGGCCTTGAATTTGAGGTCTTCCTACCTCAGCCTCCCAGGTAGCTGGGATTACAGCCAGTTAATTCTTGTATTGAATAAATTTGATAGAATTGTCCCCCTTTTTTTGGTACCAGGGATCGAACTCAGGTCCTTGGTGCTTGTGAGGCAGGTGCGGTGCCACTGAGCTAAATGCCTGGCCCTAAAATTGTCATTTTTATAGTGCTTGTTATATTACAAAAATTAATGAAAAAACATGCAATTTTTTGTCATCCTGTATTTAAATAATTGGACTGTAAGTGGTTAATTTTTAAAATTAAGATAAAAGGAAAAGCATAATTTATCAACAGATGGATATTAAAAAATAATATAACAGGGCCGAGGATTTAGCTCAGTGGTTTCGCCACCTGCTGCGCAAGTGCAAGGACCCAAGTTCGATCCCCAGTACCAAACAAAACAAAACAAAAAATAATATAGCATATTTGATTTGGTGAACAAATATGTATTAAAATGTAGATCAAAATATAACTAGTTGTTGCCACATCAAATATAGCAAATATAAATATATTCATTACCTCATATTTGGAATTCTTGAATTTTTTCTCCTTAGAGAAATAAACCAATGACAAAAAGGAAAGCTTATTTCTAAATGGTGAGATATTAGAAACTATAAGCTCTTCTTTTCACACAGTATATGCTTTTGTGGATTGTATTTATTCTTTTTTTTTTTTTTTGGTATGGGGAAATCGAACTTTGGTCCTTGCGCTTGTGCAGCAGGCAGCGAAACCACTGAGCTCAATCCCCGGCCTGCAGTATTTATTCTTAATAAATAACAAAATGAATTGATATAGCTGTATCGTTAAAATGAATATTTAAATTCTAGGGGCATTTTCATGTGCTAATGATGGTTTTTGAGCAAATGAATCAAATTTAGCACCTTGAGGCCCATTTGCAGAATTATTCTGATGCTTCTCATGTATGTTTATTTCAACATAATTGTTTCTGAGGCTTTCTGTTTTTAATTAGTGGCCCGCTGTAGATTGAGTCTAAATTAAAGAGTGTATAAAACTTTTTAAAAGCAAGTGAAATTTATAAAGAGTCACAGCCTACTTAATGGCCAGAGACATTCACCTTAATAATAGATTGAATATTCATCTCTTTGCAACTCTTATCTGTGCTCACTAGATATATACTATGAAACTTAGGCTATTAATCCATGAATGCCTTAGTGGTTCACAAGTTAAGAAAAAAAGAAACTCTCTTTGTAACCCTATGTGTGCCAAGATGTTCTTGCAGCTCAAGTTCTTCTCCTAAAGTTTAGGTGTTGCACATTGGCCCCCAGTTGTTGTGTTTTTTTTTAACATGGCTTCCGTTGCTGTGTAGCAGGCTATCTAGAGTACTCTTTAGAATTCAAATGAAATAATTTAGATAAAACCATCTTTCATGATATACTTTATACACCCTCTCCCATATTATAAAAGTAAAAGTAAGCCAGATATGGTGGTGCATGCTTGTAAATTCAGGTATTTGGGAGGCTGAGGTGGGAAGATGGTAAGTTTGAGGCTAACCTGGGCAATTTAGTGAGCTCTTGTTCCAAAATAAAATTTTGTTTGAGAAAGGGCTCTTGACTCAGCTCAGTACTCGTTCGATTCAATTCCTAGTATGGGTGAATGAGAAAAGTAAAGTTAAATTTATTTGCCCTTTATTTCATTCCTGTTGAGATTTGCTTGTTGGCTTATAGACAAATGCCTTTTTCTTTTCTTCTTTTCTTTTTTGGTACCGGGGATCAAACTCAGGACCTTGCGCTTGTGAGGCAGGCAGCAGCACCACTTAGGCAATAAATGCCTTCTAATATATACTGTTAAGCCCTCTTGAAAGTAGTATTTGAGAATTTTGAAAAGAAAGAATACACTGTACCCCTTTGAAGAGAATGAATACATTGTATATCACTTAAAATGGAGGTGGAAATAGGATGGCAGTAATGGGCATAGGTAGACTTCTAAAGGGAAAAGTGTTGCTTCTCAAACTTGGATCACCTTTTGGAAAGAATGAAATATAGACAAATTCATACATTTTAGGAATTTGTCTTTACAGAATTGAACCATAGGACTATGGTAGATTATTTAGTGCTTCTGTTTTTCTAATTTTGACTCAAATAGTTTGTATATTTATGCAAATTCACATTTCCTATTTGCTTTGGAAAATATCATTATAGATTGCATTCTTTCTTGGTTTATTTAGCAAGATATGAGTGAGTCTTTGTTAGTTCTGGGTACTATACTGCACTTTATCTCTAGAAGTATGAAACTTGGTATATCTAATCCTCAAATCCTTATATGTCTGCCTGAGGAACTTCTTTTTTTTTTTTTGGTACTGGGGATCGAACTCAGGACCTTGCGCCTGCAAGGCAGGTGGCAGAACCACTGAGCTAAATCCCCAGCAGGAACTTCTTAATATAAATTCTAATAGATTTTGGGGGATTTCAAATTGTAGTTCGGCCACTTGATGTGTGACTTTGAACAATTTCCTTGCCTCTCGGAATATCAGTTTCAGTATCTGAAGAGTGATAATTCCTATTGGGCATGGTTAATGTGAAGATTAAGTGAAATAACCTCAAGCACAACAAACTATATGACATAAAATAAGGTTTTAGTTTGTTTGTTTTTGGTACTGGGGATCAAACTCGGGACCTTGTGCTTGCAAGGCAGGCGCTAGAACCACTGAGCTAAATCCCCGGCCCTAAAGTCCTATTCTTTAAAAATACTAATTTTTAAATTGACATAAAAATTGCACATATTTATGGGGTACCATGTGATGCTTCAGTAAATTCACATATTCAGTAGGTTTTTTTGCCTTACAAGCTGTTTTACTTTTCTTGACAACCTTGTAGGCCAGCTACAAGTGAAAATGGCTATGTACACTATTAGCATTTAAATAGTTTTCATACGATTACAGAGCATAAACTATACTGTATTAGTTATTGAATAAATGATAAAGGTGCAGTGAGAAGACTTGAAACATTAAAACTTAATTGTAATTTATTTAGGGCCCCATTATCATATTTCATGAAAATGTTTTTCCTCTTTTCATTTTTAGTATCGTTACCCCTGTGAGTAAATTACATTTTCGTGTGTGGAGTCACCAGACACTGAAATCTGATGTTTTGTTGGGAACTGCTGCAGTAGATATATATGAAACCTTAAAGTCGAACAATATGAAACGTATGTATGTAAGAGTAATAGAAATTGTGATTAGCTCTGTGTTTTTGCACAAAATTAATATGCCAAACATGCAGAATGATTCATGTTCACTATTAGCCTAAATTGAAGCTTACTTGGTTATTGGATTAACAGGGAGAAGAATCTTGAACTATTTAAATCATTTTGAGTAACCTTGGTTTGACTATTCAGTTTGGGCGTAGTATTTTTAGTAAATATTTATTTACTTAGCAAATAGTTATCATTAAGATAATACATGATCAGTTAGGGAAAATCTAAAAACTTTAAAGCAGAGGTAAAGGAAAAAAACAATCACTTCAGAGACAAATATGATTACTATTTTGACAGATTTTGGGGCTAAAAGGTATAGGTAGACTTTATTTTGTAAATTCAGCTGCTGCTTTTCTGAGTCTTCTTGTTTTAGATGGATGTGGTTTTATTTACACTTATGTTTGTATCTGGCTCATTTTAATTAATGTTATCAAATCCTAAAATACAGCTATTTTTTCTATTCTAAGAATTTTTTTTCTCATTTAGGCTTATGAGATATCATCCATTCTTAAATTTTTATTTGATATAATCCAGCTATTATGCTAAGTAATCTTTGTTGTCATGCTGGTTTATTTTGTACTGCAACCTTACAAGGATGGAATGAATATAATGAATGATTGGGATATTTAATATTTTACATTATGGGTATTAAACATTAACAAATTTTGTTCTCTTTTTAAAATACAGTGTTTGCTATCAAAAAATCTTAAACTTTGGGTGAAGTACAGTAAAACAATTTATAAACACATATGTATATTATTTTCTGACATTAGGTTTCTTCAGTTATGGTGGCTTAACGGAAAAATGTGACAATTTTTTCTTGTAATTTTATTCTCTTTCAGTTGAAGAAGTGGTTGTGTCTTTGCAGCTTATAGGTGACAAAGAGCCAACAGAGACAATAGGAGACTTGTCAGTCTGTCTTGATGGCCTACAATTAGAGGCTGAAGGTGTTACTAATGGGGAAACTACAAGTTCAGAAAGTGAGTGCTCACTTTCAAGCTCTTTCATGATTCTTTTAATACCAAATAGCTACTGTAATGTGCTCTATATGATTGTTGCTATTCTTTTTCTTTTCTTTTCTTTTTTTTTTTTTTTGGTACCGGGGATCGAACTCGGGTCCTTGCGTTTGCGAGGCAGGTGGTGGAACCTCTGAGTTAAATCCCCGGCCCGTTGCTATTCTTTTTCAGAAAAGACAAATACTTTTACTTTCTTTTTGAAAGATGAACATTAATCACATTAAACATTTTCTTATTGTGTTGATTTATTCACTAAAAAATTATATTTTTCTGGGCCGGGGATTTAGCTCAGTGGTTCCACCGGGCCTTGCAAGCGCAAGGACCCGAGTTCAATCCCCAGTACCAAAAAAAGAAAACACCAAAAAATTATATTTTTCTAGAAATTGAAAAGCTAGTTAAGTAAAAGTTGAATCATAGTTGGCCCTATAAAAATGAATTGATTTTTAAAGTACTTATTCTGTATGCCAATAATGCCAGTTAATATGGTACCTTTGATGCCATACCCCCTCCAGGGCCAATGGTATACATAGTTTATTGTCGGTATTGGTATCAATTAAGTTTAAATATGACTCGAAATTCTTCTTCGTGCTGTACTAGATAGCCAGTACAGGCTGAAATCCATATGCCATTCTTCTTGCATTTCTGTAAGCTACACTTAGAGGGATCTTTTGTGTCATTGTAATAACAGAGCCATTCATTTATTTAATTTATTTATATATAATTATATAATTTTATAAAGAGAAACTTTGCTGTTATAATTTAAATATTTTTTAAACTCCTGCTTACACATTTTTCTATGTATTTTCAGAACTAAATTACCTTCTAAAAAGGCCAGTAAAACTCCTTTTTCACATTTTTTTTACATTATTTTGTTTTTATTTGACTTTATGAGTGCTACTTTAAAATTTGAAGTATTGAAACTGTAATATGGCCATTGTTGGTTTGAGCTAAGAATTTACTCTGCATTAATTTTTACAATTTACGAAACACTTTGATTTATTTTTTTGGTACCGGAGATTGAACTCGGGACCTTGTGCTTGTGAAGCAGGTGGCGGAACCACTGAGCTAAATCCCCGGCCCTGATTTATATTTTAATTTAATGTGTGTTTAAAATATAAACCAGCATAATAAAATGAGCACCCATGAAACTATTCTACAGCTTAAGAATTAGAACATTAACAGTATCATTGCATCCACCTATATTTTCCTTTCTGTATCATTTCTTCTTTTTTGTTGAGATAATCACTATTCTGAAGGTTTTTTTTTAATTTTTATTTTTTGGTACTGGGGATCGAACTTGGGACCTTGTGTCTGTGAATCAGGTGGCGGAACCATTAGGCTAAATCCCCAGCCCTCTGAAGTTTTAATTTAGCATTCATAATTTTATCATGTGTGATAAAAATCATATTACTTGTGCTTTTTCTTGAACTTTATAAAATATCAATATTACTTTTTAGGACTTACCTGTATTATAATTGAGTTCATTTATTTTTACGATTGTATAATCTATTAGATGACTATATATTTGAGTTTATCCACTTTTGTATCAAAGGACATTTGGATTGTTTCCAATTTTTTGACATTATGCGCAGTGATACATTACACATTTTTGTATATGTCAGTACACATCTTCAGGAATCTAGGGTATATCACTGGGAGTGGAATTGCTGGTGTTTAATAATAAGTAAATGCCTAGCTTAATTTTCTTTTGATGGAGTTTTTCTTTATATTCTCCTTTTGATAATTGTAGTGTCTGAAATCTGTGGAATATAAATAATTTTAGCCTCTTGTTCATTGAGACTTGTTTCCCTTTGCTTGCTGTTCTTTGATTTCAAGTTATATTTTATCGAAGTTTGTTGGAATCTTAAGGACCTCTTTGCTGCAGAAAAAAAATTTCTTTTGCTTCTGATAGGTGCTAGAGTATGCCACAGACCTAGAAATATTTTAGCTCCTTTCTAGGTTTGCCTGCCTATTGTGACAGACTCTGGTTTAGTGGCCCTACCTTGCTGCTGTCCCTACACTTTCTAATGGCTCTCAGAGCTGACCATTGCCATAGGATAACTTTGTTTTTTACATTTGCTTACTGTACCCTGAGCCTACTCTTCTATGTCAGTCAGATTTTTGTTTGTTTTTAGATTGCTAGGCACCCAGCAAATAAGAACAGTGTGTTGAATTGCTTTATCCAGGAACTGATTACTTTGTGGGTGGACTGCTCTTTTAACTTAGCCTACCGAATAGAAGAGATCTTCCAGACTTTCCTGAGTGTAAAATGTGTGCATTAAAAAATCTGGTCAAGGGCCGGGGATTTAGCTCAGTGGTTCTGCCGCCTGCCTGGGATGTGCAAGGTCCTGAATTCAATCCCCCATACCCCAAAAAAAAAACCTGGTCATTTTTTCTTGAGGAAATTTGGATTGAAACTATTTTAAAGAGCAATACATACCAGGCATGGTGCACACACCTGTAATTTCAGCTATTCTGGGAGGTCTGAGGCAGTAGGATCACAAATTTGAGGGCAGCCTGGGCAACTTAGTGAGATTTCGTCTCAACATACATTTTTTTTTTTTTTTTTTTTTTTGGTACCGGGGATAGAACTCAGGTCCTTCCCCTTGCACAGCAGGCGGCAAAACCACTGAGCTAAATCCCTGGCCCTAAAATATGTTCTTTATAAGAAAGACTTAATAAAGTCTTTGCTTACATAGCATATATAGAAAAATGCTATTACTTTGAAACTCATTTTCTGTTTAAATTTTATTGATATTAAAGATGCTTCACAGAATGATGATGACTCCAGACCCAAGGATGAAACAAGGTAAGAGTTCATTGATTGCTCATCACAGAATGCAGAAAAGTACACAGAATAATTAATATAGATTCATTAAAACTTCAAGTTCAGATTGATGTAGAAATAAATGATTGTCAAAAAGAATTCAAGACTCAAGAAGGGAAATATTTATGAAAGATTGAAGATTCAGTATATTTGACTGCAGTTATTTGGTATAGGCCACAAATGACCAAATTGCTGATACTTTCTTCAGCTTGAGGAAAGTGAATATATTGGCACCTTTGAAAGGCAGGGAATTCTGAATCCCAGAGTTACTGCTGGACCACTAGGCTTCTTTTCCAGGAAATCTGGTTTAGGAGCTTTTTGCATGTGTGAAGGCCAGTAGCTATAGTATCTTCCGGGGCTTAATTAGAATGGGCTGAGATTTTTACCAGCTGTTTCCTATTAGCACAGATTTGGCACTTTTTGTGCCTGGTACCTGTCTCCCTTCAGGTTTGCGTCTAAAAAATGTTGAAAGTCTTGGGTTAATTGACTTGATGAAGTTTATTGGTTATCCTGGAAACTGATAATGGGATATAAAATTAGGAAAGAAAACGATCCTACTCTTAAAGCAGTGACATGTCTTAAATACAGAGTGTGGGTGTTATAATTCCACCCTTGTTGTTTTTTGGGGGGTTTTTTGGTACTGGGGATTGAACTTGGGACCTTGCACTTGCAAGGCAGGCAATGGAACCACTGAGCTAAATCCCCAACCCTAGGAGTTATAAAATACCATTGAAGTCTTTGTTTTTCCAAATTGGTTAAGCAGTAGATAGGACAAAGACTAAGAACACTGAAGCAGAAAACCAGAAAGCACCAGAACATAAGGAGAAATTATCCAGAAAGAGGGATGTTGCAATGCCAGATGCTTCAGGAAAGTGTAGGTGAAGTAAATAGAGCAAAATATTGTTTGTTGACGCTGGGTTGATAGATCTATGTGTTTGTTTTTATCACTTTTGCAATATGGAAATTTTCAGAATAAAAAGTTTAAAAAAACAACTCATCAAGATCTTTAGGAAAACCAAAGTTTATAAAGTGGTTTGTCTTACCAAATGAAATCTGCTTTTATGGAGTCACTATTGTTAAAAAGAATTATATGCTCTCTAGTCTCATAAGAGAGTATTAAGGAGTAGAAGCATCTTACCAGAGAGTAATTACTTCTTTTTTATTTTTCACTGTAATTAAAAAGCAGTGGAGCTGGGCATGGTGGGGCATACCTGTAATCTCAGTGCAGGAGGATCACTGTGAGTTGAGGGCAGCCTGAACTACATAGCAAGACTTGTCTCAAAAAGGGAGGTGGGTGGAAGAAATGGAAAAGGTTTTTAAAATTACATAAACATATCTGTAGACTGGACATTTAATAGAAAATTTCTTGAATTTTCTGAAGTATTCCCCATAATGTTTTAATATTTTTTGCTTAACTTCCCTTTGATGTAAATAAACCCATATATCTTTGCATTGATGTGTGATACAATTTTATATGCTCATGAAAGATTCCATTGTAGCATTGTGTTGGTGTGTGTTGGGGATTTTTTGCAAGTCTTTTTCTTATAATATTTATGAAACCAATTATACTCTTTTTTTTGTCTGTTTGCTTGGTTTTGTTGTTGTTGTTGTTTTGGGATTTTTTTTGAGGTAGGGTCTCACTATGTAGTTCAGGCCAGCCTTGAACTCACTTTGTAGCCCAGGCTACCCTTGAACTCACTGGGATCCTCCTGCCTCAGCCTCTCAAGTGCTAGGATTATAGGTATGTGCCACCACAACCCAGCTCTTAACATTTAGAAATTTCTTATAAAGGCACTGCTAGAGCCTTAGCTTCATACCATTTATTTAATGCTTTCTGTCTTACCAAGTGAGTCACTGTTGTAAATTGAGGGAACAATGTCTCCTAGGTTTCTGGTTTGCTTGACAGACTTTGAGAGTATTCTTTTGTGTTAAACATAATTCCTATGCTTTTATTATAGAGTACTTATTTTTGATTTGTTTTTGAGTATTTATCTTTGAGATAATGGATTTGAAAAGCATTTTGTAAACATCAAATGTGGTTTAAGTGTTGTTATTAAAAGGAAAATTTCTTAGATCAATTAAATTTAGTAGAACTTGAGTAAAGCTAAACAAAAATGATTCGTGAATCAGGCAGCTCCAAGAAGCAGAGTACATTATAAGGACTCCAATCAGCAGTGTGATTTGATAGCATTTATAGAAAAATGGAAGACATAGAGAACAACTTAATTAGCTGCAGCCTGCTCAATCAGCCATTCAGTTGATGACAGCTTAATTAGTTATTTGATTTTAGCCCAGTCAGCTGGCCACAAATCAATATCAAGGGGGCGAAAACAATAGTGTAATTCCATTCTGGTCTTCATTTCCCAAGAACACTTTACTCTCCAGAAAGTGGGCAGTGCCTGCCAGTGAACATGGTCTTCTGCCATCAGCCAACGCTCAGCCTGTATAAGACAGCAAGACCCCATCTCAAAATAAAATTTATTTATTTATGTATTCATTCATTCATTCATTTATATATTTATTTTCCGGGGATTGAACTCAAGATCTTGAGCTTGCCAGGCATGTGTGGCTCTGCTGAGCTACATTCTCGCCCCTCAAAATAAAATTTTAAAGAAGGGCTGGTGATTATTACTCTTTACTTCCACCTAAAGTTGGGATGATATCATTATAAGGAAGTACCTTGCTCTCAATAAATGTTATTTTTAGTATTAGATAGGACATGGCCAAATGGAGGTTTTGGCTTGCAAGTAAAGGGTTATGATTTTTTTGTTGTTATTTTGAGATAGGGTCTCCTATGTAGTTCAGGCTGGTCTTAAATTCACTATGTTAGCAAAGGCTGGCCTCAAATTCTCAGTGATCCTCCTGCTTCAATCTCCTAAGTAATGGGATTACAAGCATGCACAATCATGCTTGGTGCAAAATTTTTTTCTCTGGAGAGAATTGTTTCAAAAAAAAAATTTGTGGGGCCTGGGATTTAGCTCAGTGGTTCTGCCACCTGCCTCGCAAGTGCAAGGTTCTGAGTTCGATCCCTGGTACCAAAAAAAAAAAAAGAACTGTGAATTGGATTGTCACAACCAGAACTCTATAGGGAAAATTGTTTATTTGAAGTGTATTTAGTGTGTTTTGCTTTGTATGGCATTGAATGAGGGTTGAATGAATGATACGGAAGTTTATTATAGTAATCTAAGAAGTAATGAGAGCTAGCTCTAGTTCAGTGGTGGTGGATGAGGAGAGGGAGAATGTGAAAGTAGGATCAAGTGGGACTTAGATATTCGTCAAAAGGTGCAAGGAGAAGAAAAGTAAAATTGCCTGGTAGTATAACAGTGTCACTATAGAACCAAAATATAGGAGAAAGAAGTTTGAGGAATTATTTCACATTTCCTGCTTTTTTTTGTTAATCTGATACTAGAGGATTGGACTGAGACAAAAACTAGAGATTCTCATTTGGGAATTACAGTATTCTCAGAAGTAATCTTTAAAGTCATGGAATTTGAGATCCCAGGGGAAATTTTGTGGAAAAGGAGGACAAAAACAGAACCTTAGGGCCTTATCTTCAATGAATGAGATGAAGGGAACAAATCAAAGAGAGGATGCTTAGAAGTGGGTGTTCAGTATTACAGTGTCACAGAAGTTTAGAGAAAAATGTTTTAAAGAGAAAAAAAATTTTTTTGTTACTGGGGATCGAACTCAGGACCTTGTGTTTGCAGTGCAGGCACAGCACCACTGAGCTAAATCCCCAGCCCAAGAGAAAAATGTTTTTAAAGGTTAGGTTATATAAACTGAGTATTGTGGTGCATTCCTATGATCCCATCACTCGAGAGGCTGAGATAGGAGAAGCACCAAAAAAATAGTTAAAAGGGGCTGGGGGTGTAGGCCAGTGAGAGGGGCCTGGATTCACTCCCAGTACCATACCAAAAAAAAAAAGAATAGAAAAGGTTATTTAACACTTAATAAGCTAGGGAAAACTGGCTGTTTGGTTAGTGCCTTTACCCCAAAACCCAGAGTGCATTCCAAGTTAATTTTTAAAATTGATTTCAAAAATGAAGCCATAAAACCTTTAGAAGAAAATGTGGTTAATTTATTGCTGGACAAATATCGAAATAGAAAATTCTTACCTATTTAGAAAGAGAACATCAGAGGAATTATTTGATCATTATGCTAGATGAATATCATCAGATTATGCAGAGCTCTTACAAATAAAAACTATTCTAACAGAAAATGTGAAAAAAACATATACAGTTCATGAAAGAATAAACTCAAATGGCCTGTAATTATATGAAATATTGTCCAACTTCCTTAAAATAACAAGCATTTGATTTATAAAATTTGCAAAGATTAAAAAATTTATGATGAAATGGGTATTTTCAAATGGGAAATAAGAGAACAGATTTATTGTAACCTTTAGAAATATTTTAAAAAACAATTTAGCCATCAATATTTCAGCCTTCATATTTCAGCCTTTGCATATCTTGACCCAGCTATTCTATTCTGATAATCCAAAGATCAGTTAAAAGGCAAAGATGCTAAATAATATGCTAATATGATATTCTGTCATTCAAAATGTTTTTGAGTAATTTCAAGGAAATGACTGGAATATAGTGATTAACAAAAATAAATTCCCACTAAAGATATAGAACCATTATGCATAGTATGATCATAGTCATACGTGATGAAAAAGGATTATCAAGAGATACCCCCATACTTTAGTGGTAATGATCTCTAGGATGTGGGGTACAGGCAATTTTTATTTTTACTTTATAATTAAAAGTTAGATTTTAATTTTGAAAATCTTTTTTAAAAAACTAAAATGTGAGACAGGGTGTTGTTCAGTAATAGAGCACTTGCCTAGCATGAGTGAGGCCCTGGGTTCAATCTTAAACACTAAATACAACAAAGAAAAATCCCAACAACACTAAAATGCACTAAATACACCAACTGCATAAATACGAAAAAGTATAATGAAAGGAGCATGAGAAAATAACTTGCAAAATAGTTAAGATTGATAAAACATTTTAGGTTGAGAGTTTGATTTTATTTGTGGACTGAGAGGAAAGATCTAGAATAAGGAATATGATGAAAATAAAAGAAAGGCATTAAATGATGTTGGAAGTTCTCTAGAGGAGGTAGGTTACAATCAAGGACACATAGATAAAGTAGCCTAGAAGAAATGAGGAGAGTTTTTTCAGACAGGGAAAGCAGATGAAGATGGTTACTAGAACAAAAACTTTTAAGATAGGGAAGAAAGTTGAAGAATAGCAGATTATCATTCTTAGGGAAGAGGAAGAGTTAAGGTTATCTACAGATTGACAATAAGTATTTGTGGAGATGATAAAAGGTTTGCAGTGGGCACTGACATGTGGCCCGGAGTGGAATAGAGATAGAATACATGATAACCCAAGCGAAATTGTTGAATAATCTCAAATATAGTCTTGTGTTGCCTCATTCTCTTGATGTAATCAGGCCTTAGCAAGTTGAATACTAGGCTGGGGATTTAGCTCAGTGGTTCCAGTCCCTGCCTCACAAGCGCAAGGTCCCGAGTTCGATCCCTGGTACGAAAAAGAAAAAAAGAAAGTTGAATACTGCCCATGTAGAAAGATGAAGACTAAAGAAGCACAATTAAGGGCCGGGGATTTAGCTCAGTGGTTTCGCTGCCTGCTGGGCAAGCGCAAGGACCCAAGTTTGATTCCTGGTACCAAAAAAAAAAAGAAGCACAATTAAAATTCTTTTTTCTGTTGCCTTGGTCTTTGTGATTGTATAGAACCTAGTAAGAACTCTTTGTCCCACCACATTACTATTTTATTATTTTTCATTTTAAACCAATACATGAATCCCATTGAACAGATGGTATGGTAACTAGGTTGCCACAATCATCTGTTATTTCTAATTTCCTAGTTGCCAGTAGACTTAAGCTATAGTTTCTTCTTTTTTAACAAAGGGAAGGAAAAAGACTTGTGAGTCATTGGAAATGGAAACCTTAAAACTTTTCCTTACTGGGCCTAGTGGAAAATTTATCAGGACTTTTTGTAGAACAGTCTGCCCCTTTGATGTGCTACTTTACCTACTTTATTTACTAAAATGTATTTGGTTTCTCAACTGCAGCATTCTCCAGCTTTATTTGTTGGGTTCACAGAAGACTAGTGGAAAATGTAGATAAAGGATTAATTGTAGCAAAAAGATTGCTGGGAGAAGGGAGCAGTTGGGCAGAAGTGAAGGAATTGAAGGTGCTAGGGAAGGTAGCCTGTGATAAAACCCAAGATTGACTTGATGGGACTTGATGGATTGTGAAGATAGAGGGAGATTGAAGGTCAGGATGAGACTGAATAAGATACAGCAGGAGACAAGTAGAAGGAATAGAAAGGTATAGTTAGAGGGATTTTTAGCATTAAATATTTGGGAAGAAAAGCAATTGTAAGTATCAAGGAAATTTAAGGAATTATCATATTATCCAAGTTGTCAGATAACCACATTGAAAACTGAGACCAAGATGTTGAAAATATGAATTTAGAAATCCCTCAATTTTTATCTCCAACAACGAAACGTGCCTTTTAAAAATGTGTTTTCTGCTCCACCTTTGTCATAGCAGATTTGCCTGAGCCTTTGAATGATCCTCTTCCTTCATATATCCTGACAACTTAGTTGTCTAACACTGGATGTTCAATTTACCATGAATTTTCTACCTGAAAGGTTTTTAGGGATCATATAGTCAAGATAATATATTTTGAGATGCATAGAGATTAAATAACTTTTCTTTGACATCCCTGTAATCCCATCACTCTGGGAGATTGAGGTAAGAAGATGGCAAGTTCTAGCCAAGCCTGGGCAACTTAGAGGCCTCATCTTTTTAAAAAAATTAATTTCATTGGTACATTTTAGATCTATATAATAGGGGCTGAGGATTTAGCTCAGTGGTTCTGCCACCTGCCTTGCAAGTGGAAGGATCCGAGTTCGATCCCTGGTACCAAAAAAAAAAAAGATGTATATAATGATCAAATTTATCATAGGGAATTTGTACCTGTTTATAATATATCCTGATTCTTCTTTTTTTAGGCAATCATCTCCCCTCCCTTCAACTCCTTCCCCTCCTTATTTAGAAAAGCTTTGTTTCCATTTTTTTCCCCTTCTATTCTTTGTTGTCTTTTCTCTTCCTTCCTTTCTCCCTACCCCCTCCCTTGTTTTTCTTCCCTTTTGAACATTTTCTTCCTCTTGCCTAATATTATTGCACATTTTGGTCCTTATTTATACTCTTTCTGTTTCTTACACCAGAGAAATAATGCGATTAAACACGTGCTCGATTTACTTCAATTTAAGAGTATGGTCTCAGGGTGCATCTATTTACCTAAAAATGTCTCAAGCTTATCCTTCTTTATTGCTGAGTACTACACCATTGTATATATATATTTTTAAATGCATCTTTTTATCCATTCATCCAATGAGAGGCCTTGTTGTAAAATAGAAAAATTGAAAAAGGGCAGAGGGTGCTCAGTATGAAGGCCCTGGGTTCAATTTTCAGTAGCACAGGAAAAAAAAATTTACAACTTAAAATATTCACCCTTAAAAATAAATAAAAGCATTGTATTGCATGCATTACAGAAAAAGATTATTTAATACATGGTACTACCTCTATTTCTTGAATCAGTTACATTTTACCTTGTTCATGCTTGTTCTGAAAGTCCAGGAATATAGATTAAAACTGTGGTAGTAGAATCAGAGCCTTAGCTGAGGCATCTTTGAACTGGCTACTCATGCTCTTGTTTCTAATCCATGACAGCAGTAATTGCTTTCAACCTGACATTTCCTGTTAGTGTCTTTCCTTCTCTTCTTTCTTTCCCTTCAGTTGATGTCATTGCTTTGATGGAGTGACAACTCCTTTATAAAAACATCTGTGGCAGTGCTCAGTCCCAAGAAAATAAGTGCTTCTTTCTTATGGCAGGGGACATCCCCTACTCAAATATGAGTATAACCAATAGAAACCAAGAAAATAACACTGGTGAAGTTATCCTTGCTTGTGATTAAAGAAGGACCTTTTCTAAGGAATTGGCATTTTGAGAATTTGACTTTGTTCTAAAGTCAAAATCTTAACTTATTATTACAGACCCATCTGTAATAAGAGATAAGGGTTTTTTTTAGAGATAAGATTTCACTATGTAGTTCAGGCTGACCTTGAACTGATTGTGTAGCCTAGGCTGACCTCAAACTCTCAGTGATCCTTAGCCTCCTGAGTACTGGGATTACAGAAATGTGCCACCACACCTAGCATATACAGGGCATTTTGGAGATTTATTTGAAATCTAAACCAGCATATGCAATAATTTTGAATGCTCTCAGGTATTTCTGTTCCCTTGAATAACTTATCGCTCTATGTCTAGATCAACTCTGAAGGTTAAATAAAACTTAACCCAGGGACTCTGTATTTTGATAAGGCTGACTTAAAATTAGGAACCTTCTCAAGCTGCTAAAACTTTGTTTTCTTGCTTTTTCTTAAATTCAAAATGCAATTGTTGTTTTCCCTTTCTTCCTTTCTACTCTTCTTTTTACCCAGAGTGAACACAAATGAATCAGGTGACACTGAAGATGCAGGGTCTGGTGAAAATAAGAGAGTCAATGGGAATAATTCTCCATCACTCTCAAATGGTGGTTTCAAACCTTCTAGACCTCCGAGACCTTCACGACCACCTCCACCTACCCCACGTAGACCAGGTGTGTATTCCAGCTCTCAGTTTTGTAAATAAGGCTCCAATTGGGAAGTGATCCTCAGGTAAGTGTCAGGAGACCCTTTTAAATTAACTTTCTGGCTGTATTTTTACATTTAAGATTTTGGCCAAGAATGATCTCATTATAGATAATCAAGAAGTGCCTTTTCCCTAACTTTCTCTTTCAAGTGTGAACTTACTAATTGCTCTATTGAGAGTGAAAATCACATGCATCCTGTATGTAGTTCAGATAAGATTGAAAATTTTTTTTGCATGGTTTCTCTGTGACATATGCATATTTTACAGTCAAGAATCTGGTTTCTTTCCAGGTGTGGTAGCACACACCTGTAATCCCAGCACTTGGGAGGCTGAAGCAAGAAAATTAGGACAAATTAGAGGCCAGCCTGGGCTACATAGTGTGTTCAAGGCCAGCCTGGACTATATAGTTATTCCCTGTCTCAATAAAACAAAACAAGACAAAAAAAATCTGGTTTCTTATTCTCATTAAATCCTTTAAAAAAGATTACTAATTAATTAGTAAATGGCATATAACCCAGCAGTGGTAAATGATAATCACATTTTTTTTGTACCGGGGATCGAACTTGGGTCCTTGCGCTTGTGGGGCAGGTGGCAGAACCACTGAGCTAAATACCCAGCATAATCACATTTTAAAGCAAAAAATATAATACAAGGCCAGGGATTTAGCTCAGTGGTTCCACCTCCTGCCCTGCAAGTGCAAGGACCTGAGTTTGATCCTCATTACCAAAAGAAAAAGTATATTTTATATAGTAACAAAGTAAACACCTATAGGTATACTGTTTTTCTGATTAGCCAGAAGAAATCTTTAATCTTAAATTTTATTATTTTCCTCTGATAGTGTGTGGGTAGTGAATGCAAAACAATTAAACCAAATACTATTAGAAAAATAAATTGGTTGTCCACAGATCATTTTACTAAGTGAGTTTGTTTTGGATTTTGTATCTTCCCCTCCCCCATAGCTGATTGTGTTCATGCTATATCCCAAGTCTTTAAGATCATACATACATCTTTTTGTTGTATTAATGACTTCTTTCAGGAATTGTCAACAGGTATTTCTCAAAGATACAGCCAATAACTATTTGTAAGAATGTTATAGTTTACCAGTCATATCAGCCATATTATAACCAGTATCAAATACTGGTGTCTAGCTGAACATGGTGACACTCACCTATAATGCCACCTACTCAGGAGACTGATGAAGACTGAATGTTAAGGCTAGTCTGGGCAATTTAGAGAGGCCCTGCCTCAAATAAAAACAGTTCAGATGTAGCTTAGAGGTACAGCATTTGCATAAACATGTGCCAGGCCCTGGGTTCAATTCTGTGCATCACAAAACAAAAATAGAAACAAAAAAGATAGTCTCTAAGCTACAGGGTTTCATAGAAAATTAAGAATCTGAAAAATTACTAAATGGTCTTAAAATACCAAAGAATATGAATATTTTCCTATTCTAAAAGTTTTTATTGAGCTGGAGTTATAGCTCAGTGGTACGACACTTGGCTAACATGCTAAAGGCCCTGGGTTTGATCCTGAGCACAATCAATCAATAAAGTTTTTTATTTCCAGTGGTATCATGAAATTAGAATCTGCGTATGTCTTGTACTTAATAATGAAACATAGAGTAGATGGGAATTAAGAGGTTGTGAATAAGTCTAGTATGAGAGAACATTGGCTATTTGCCATTGTTTTTCAGTAATTTTTAGCTGTGTACCCCATCTTAAATTTTTGTCATGTATCTTTTTTTTTTTTAAGTTAAATTCTAACTGGCTGGTTAGCTCAGTTTGTTAAGAGTGTGGTGCTAGGGCCAGGGATTTAGCTCAGTGGTTCCGTCGCCTGCCTCGCAAGCGCAAGGACCCGAGTTCGATCCCTGGTACCAAAAAAAAAAAAAAGAGTGTGGTGCTAAAGTTAAATTCTGTCCTGATTTTAGGTTTCAGAAAGTAAAAAGTTCTCTTCCTATTTTCCTCAATCTTTTATAGCTTCTGTCAATGGTTCACCGTCTGCCACATCTGAAAGTGATGGATCTAGTACAGGTTCTCTGCCACCAACAAACACAAATACAAATACATCTGAAGGAACAACATCTGGATTAATAATCCCTCTTACTATATCGGGAGGCTCAGGCCCTAGGCCATTAAATCCTGTAACTCAAGCTCCCCTACCACCTGGGTAAATAACTTCTTTTGGTCAACATTTGTTTTCTTTAGGCTTCTGCATGTGCTTATTATTTAGGAAAATAACACTGCATTTTGTGTATAACTATCTTCAAGCAATTGTAATGGATTTTGGGAGGTCTGAAGTCTAAAGAAATTGAAATTTGAATTTGAAAATTTCCTCCTTCATTTCTAGGGCAAAAATTAAATTGAAGAACCCTGAATCATAGAAAGTTAATCAAGGCTAAGTAATAAAATAATCATTTAATTCAGATTGCTCTTTCTTTGATGGACAAAAAAAATTTTCTTCTTAAAATCAAAAAGACTTTTTACCATAATCATTATAGAGAAGTAATAATAAATAATTTGAACTGAGGAAATTGGTACCCACAATCCCATTTTAATTTTTACTATTAACAGTAGCTCATTTTAAAAAATGAATAATACTCTTAAGTATAATTTTTATATACATTGTAGCCTTCAAATTTAATCTAGAACTCAAGAATGCTAACCAAAATTAATTAATAAATTAATAAACTGTCATGATGAGGATTTCAGTTGTTACACAGAGTATAATACTTGCGTTGGTAGTTAGGATGTTTTCCTTTTTGAAAGCTTATGTAGGAAACTAAATTTGAAGGTTGTGTTTCAAAACAAATTGAATATTCTTAGAAGTTATTGGAACTTCTAAGCTATGATGCTTTACTCTTATCTTCTTCACTTAGGGAATAAATCTACTAAGAAGACTAGAATTCTTTTTTTTTTTTTTTTTGGATACCAGAGATTGAACTCAGGACCTTCCGCTTGCGAGACAGGCGGTGGAACCACTGAGCTAAATCCCTGGCCCAAGACTAGAATTCTTATATTGGCCAGTCTGTAAACTTTCTTCCTGTTCTATGCAGGGACACATCTGATAAAGGCTTTGTTCTTTGATTTCAGTTTTTCCAGACTTCAGTCAGACATTTCTCCTTCAGTAAGCTTAGTCTTTGTTGAGGTTTCCTATGATTAATTACAGCATTTTGTTGCACTCAAGTCCTTACTGTAACCTAGTCAAATTGAGAGTGACTTTGGTTTCCTAGGTGGCCTGATGTCAAGACTAGAAATACAAGTTGTCTCCTAGAATAGACATTTATATCTAAGAAATCTCACGTATTATGTGTCATCCTCAGAAGATGCCATTTCTGACCTTATTTCAATTCTCTTGGTATCTTTTTTTATAAATTGGAGTACTTGTTTTTTTCAGTTGTATAGTATGGTCTTTTTAAGTGAAATACCAAACTGCTCACACAAATGCCTTGCTATTCTTTTTAATGTTGTATTTAAGGTGGGAACAGAGAGTGGACCAGCATGGGCGAGTTTATTATGTAGATCATGTTGAAAAAAGAACAACATGGGATAGACCTGAACCTCTACCTCCTGGGTAAGTATCTGAATTTTTATTATTTCTTTCTTTATTTATTTGGTACCAGGGATTGAACTTGGGACCTTGCGCTTTTGAGGCAGGTGGTGGAACCACTGAGCTAAATCCCCAGCCCTGAATTTTTATTTTTTAAATTTATTTTATTTTATTTTTTTGGTATTGGGGATCGAACTTGGGTCCTTGCGCTTGTGCAGCAGGCAGTGAAACCACTGAGCTAAATCCCTGGCCCCAGAATCCTCTGAATTTTTATTTTTTCTAAAAGTGTTTATCCAGAGCCAGGGATTTAGCTCAGTGGATCTGCCACCTGCCTCACAAATGCAAGGTCCCGAGTTTGATCCCCAGTACCCCCCCCCAAGTGTTTATCCAGAGGTATGAGTTAACTTCCCTTCATCCCTAATTTTCTTGTTCTTTTCAGTCTTTTATTCACTTTGTTTTGTGGTAGGTGCAATCTAGAAAGACGAGAGCTAGAGAATTCATGCAGAAGATAATAAATGATTTTATTTTCACTCATTTCTGACCTAAATATTCCATCTTTTTTTGTGTGTGTGTGGTACCAGGGATTTAACTCAGGACTTTGCACTTGTTAGGCAGGCACAGTGCCACTGAGCTAAATCCCTGACAGAAAGACTCCATCTTTCCATTTTCCTGGCTGGGGATGAAGCTCAGTGGTAGAGTGCTTTCCTATATGTGTGTTGCCCTTGGTTCAATCCCTAGCACTTCAAAAATAAATAAAACAACACGCACACAAATTTATCTGTCTGAACTGCTTACCTGGCTCAGAGCAACAAAAAGTTTAGGATTAGTTTTTTCAAAAGTAATTATTTAACTAAATAAAAATTATAGCTCAAAAATATTATAGCTGCTGTCATATATATGTTTTAATAAAGTTCTTATTATATAAAATATTTAGTATAAGGCTGGGGATTTAGCTCAGTGGCAGCTGTACCTGCCTCGCAAGCTCAAGGTCCTAACTTTGATCCCCGGTACCGCCCCCCCCAAAATACATATATAGTATATAATAATGTAGCCTTTGCAGAATAATTTGGAAAGTTGGGATATATTAATACATGATGTTAAGCATTTAGCATTTATATTATATAAAATAGTTGGATAAAAAGATATTTTTTAAATCGAGGAAGTCTGTAGCAAACATGGAAAAATAATTAACCTTGCTAGTAATCTTAAAGAAACAGACACTTAAAAAAAAAAAAGAAAGAAAAGAAACACACACTTAAAAGTTACTGTTTTGCTTATTAAATTAGAAGATGAATGGCAAATGATGGTGAGGAACTTTACCTTTTAATATTTGTAGTAATAGTATAAATTAGTTACAACTCTTACAGAAATCTCTTCATAATAATATATATCCTTAGTAATTTTCTGTAGAAAATTTATCCTAAAGAAGTATTTCAAAGCAAGAAAGAAAGTTTGATGTTTTAAAGTATTTCTTATTTTATTTATAACATCAGAATATTGGAAACAATCCTAAATAGGCGACCAGGTAGAAATCATCAGCTTATTTTATCAGCGTTTACTTAAGAAAAAGGTAGTTGTATTCTTGTGCAAAAGTAACTTTTTGTTGTCTGTGAAATCTGTATATACTATTTGTGTCGCTATTGTGATTACAACAGTAAAAGAATCACAGAAAAAGAACTTGTTTCTTAATGACTTTTAGAGACTAACTCACTGAATATGCATTGCATTTTAAAGACCTGGGTAATACATCTTAAGGACTTTTACAAAATACAGCTTTAGAAACATTCCTTTTAAGTTCACTTTCAGACCATTTGAAAAAAATATGTACAAAGACAAAGTAAATCAGAAATAGTAACAAAAAATCAGAAGTAGTTTCTCAAGGTAAAATCTTACATCTGTTTCACAAGTATTTGTTGAATTAATTTGTTTTGATTCTGATTTAGTTGGGAACGGCGGGTTGACAACATGGGACGTATTTATTATGTTGACCATTTCACAAGAACAACAACATGGCAGAGGCCAACATTAGAATCTGTTCGGAACTATGAGCAGTGGCAGCTGCAACGTAGTCAACTGCAAGGAGCTATGCAGCAGTTTAACCAGAGATTCATTTATGGGGTGAGCAGTGTGTTGATTTGTTGATTATATTTCATTTCCTGCATATGTATGTAAAGCACTAAAATGAAGGTTCAAGTAGGATGGTAATTCAGTTATTGCTATTAGTATTATCACTAGCAATATTATTTTTAGACCTGTCTGGAGTATTCTGTGTATGTGATCTATTCTTTTTTTTATCCTGTAATTTCCCCTTTCCTTTGTTGTCAAAAATAAACCAAAAAAAGAGCTAGAATAACTTAAAATTCATGAACAAAAGAATAAAAATAGACCCAAGCAGTTTGAAAAGCACTGAAACAATTCTAAGTACTGCCTTTAATTTACCAGAATATTGGAACGCTTGAGTCACAGAGAACCTTTTAAGTGATTGTACAGAATTAATGATGGAGCTGAATCACTTGTTAACATTTAAGAAGAAAATTTACCCTAATAAATTATTTGATGTTTGGAAAGACTGAAAAAGTGTTATTTCTTACAGGATTATGCTAAATACATTTTTCTGGCTTCAGATCAATATTATCTTTGTTATAAAAATATTTCCTTTGTAGAGACAGATGGTTAGGAGCTTGATATGGTGGTACATACCTGTAATCCCAGCACTCTGGAATTCGGGGTGTGAGGATCTCAAGTTTGAGCCTAGCCTGAGCAACTTAGCAAGAGACCTGGTCTCAAAGTAAAAAATTTAAAAAGGGTTGGGGATGTAGCTTGGTGCAAAGGCCCTAGGTTCAATCCCCAATAGCACTAAAAACAGGCAACAAAAATTGTTTAAATTTTACCTGTTTCCATTTAGGATAATTAGTACAGCAACAGTAATAAGTACACCATGCTTTATTTGCTATGCATTCTTTGCTGCTAGGGAGTCTGTAATCTCTTAAGTCATAAAGTATCACAGATATTTTCTCTGAGGAAAGGGAAATAGTAAATAGTCTGTTTCTGGTTTTTTGGTTTTTGTTTTTTGTTTTGTTTTTTGTTTTACAGGGAGGGTAGTTTGTTAGTTCTGATTTAGTTTTTTGAGACAGTCTTACTATGTAGCCTAGGCTGGCCTCTAACTCAAAGCGATCCTCCTGCTTCAGCCTCATGAGTGCTGGGGTTACAGGTTCTGCCCCCATGACCCCCAGTAAATAGTCTGTTGAGAAACTTGATTCTCTGTGCCAAACAAGGTGAATTTGTGTAACATGCAGAATTTAAAAAGAAGAAAACCAACACAGCCAGGTATGGTAGCACATGCCTATAATTGCACCACTCCTGAGAGGCTTAGGCAGGAGGGTCATCATGAGTTGGAGGCTGGCCTGGGCTACATAGTGAGTTCAAGGCCAGCCTGAACCACATAGTGAAACCCTGTCTCAGAAAAAAAAAAAAAAATTAAAAACAGAAAACCAACTGCAGCCATTCTAGATATTGCTAATGCTCTCCATTGCCATCATCTTCACTAGTGTTGGTATCATCTCTATTAGACTCCATCAGAGTAAAACAGTATCTTTCATATTCCTCATTAGGCATTTTTTTCCTTTTCCTTATAGTCCTGTTACTGGGTAGCTCTTTCTAAAAGTGGCTTACCAAATAAACATTACTGGGTTTTGGGTTGTTTGGCTCTCCTTCTGGAGTTGGATTCCAGGTTCTGCTCATTTCAAACAAAGAAGTGAACGAAATGAGCAACCCCCCAAAAAAAACCAGTGACAGTTTATTTCAGAAAGTGAAAGTGAAGAGTGAGGAAGAAACTGGCCCTGCAGAGCAACCTTGGGCTGAATAAAAGGAAAAAGCAAGATGAAAGTGCACCCTGGAGAATGAATGGCAGGTTATCGTGAGGAAAGCCATGTCAGCAAGATCTTCTTGGCCTCTGTGTCCTTTTATGCTATCCACATCTCAAGGAAACCCCCAGAAACTTCTGCCTATGGGTCCTGAGAGGCAGTGCTGGGATCCCAATGTCAGGCTGACATCAAGTCTAGGCCATCCTATTGAAAACCTGCTTGGTGCCTTCTGAGCAAGCGCAAGGACCTGAGTTCGATCCCCAGTATCAAAAAAAAAAAAAAAGAAAGAAAGAAAGGAAAAGAAAACCTGCTTGAGTTCTCCCAAGAAGTCCCATGTGCAGGGCTTTGGGAACTGTTCTGCAGGTGTGTTCCAGGATCTTAGTAATTAACAGGTCACGCCTACTTCCTGGCCAGGTTCGGCACACCCTAATCTCCTTTATCAGTCCTGTCTGCTTTTTGTGTCTCATCATCACAATACTGTAGTTATCACTTACTGATAAAAACTGATCACCGTTATCAGCAGCCTGCCCTTCATTCTCTGGTTATGACTAAGACATTTTCTTTTCTTTTAACAAATTTTCCTGCCACTCTTTCTAGACAGATGTCACTGTATTTCCCCTCCTAGTGATTTAAGAAGTGAAATTAATTTTTGTCTTTTGTCCATGTTAATCTTTCATTTTTTCTATGATGTTTTGCATTTTCTTTTCTTTCTGAATTATAATTACCTTTGGTATGTGTCTTAATTACTTTTGTCTTATTGCTGAAACAAAGTTAAATTTAAAGGGGGAAAGGTTTATTTGGCTTACAGTTCTTAGAGGTTTCAGTCCATAATCGGCTGGCTCCAAGGGTGGGTGCAGAGGGGCAACAGTTCATGGTGGCAGAAGACATTAGAAGCAACAAGGAACCTTAATAGTGTCTTTCTGCACCATTTATCTTATTCAGACTATACAGAGTGAGTAGCACTCAAGCCCTTAATCCTAGTGCCCTCAGGCCTAGCTTTGCCCAATCATCAATCAATCACTACTCTAAATTCAGCCACCTTTAAAAAAGCCCCTCCTAAGACTGCTTGAGGCTTTGGGGAGACCTCTAAACACAAGCCTAGTGTATGTCTAGCCAAATGTCTTCTAGGTTTCTTGCCTTCCTTCTTTAAAACTAGTTTTCAGATAGGTATCCAGTGGAAAGAGCATGGGCTTTGGAGTCATACCCATCTGGGTTCACATCCTGGTTTCAGTTACTTTCTATACATGACTTTGAGTAAGTTACTTAATCTCATCATAAAATAGACACATTTAATTGCCTCAGGTTTTTTTTTAATGGATTCTACAACATTTCTAATATATTCAGCAGACACTAACTGCTTGGAATTGTTATTTCTCATTTCTTCTTTCCCTTCTATCCACAACTGTAAGTGTGCCCTTTATCACATTTTGGTAGCACATAATCTCTCAAAACCTTCTTTTTAAAGACAGAGCATCTATTGTGTATATTGATTCATTGTAAATTTGACCAATTTAGTATTTAGAGTCTTTGGAACATTTTAAGAATTACAACTTTTTTCTCTTCACTCATGTTCTTTTCTTTTTTTCTCATATCCAAAAGAATCTGACCAATTTTTAAAATTTTTATTATTTTTTTGTTGTTGTTATAGAGTGGTTCTAAATTACACAGGATTTAAACAATTTGTTTTAATATCAAAATAACCAAAATGTGAACTGAATTGAATGAATTTAACATTCTTAATATCATGTACTTAACAAGTGGTGAGGTATTGCTGAGAAATAATCTGTTTACTGAGTGTATGAAGTGGTCATTGTCCACCATTGATCTGATCCTGGTTACAGGGCAATAGACTCATATACACTGTTTGTCTTTTTTTTTTCTTTTCTCTCTTTTTTCTGATAACCCTGCATTTTGAACCTTAAATAGATACTGTTGATAATAAAATATTATGTAATGATTTTTCCTTGCCCGGGAGTGCATATTCTTAGTTTATCTAAGGAGAGCCAATGGTGTAGGCTTGGGTCTTAAAAAATTATCAACTTTGTCATGTGTCAAACTTTTTTGTCTTGGTGTTTTTGAGATAGTTTTGTTATGTAGTTCAGACTGTCCTTGAACTTAACTATGTAGTCCAAGCTGGCCTTGAATCCTTCGTCAACCTCTGAGTGACATGGGAAAAAAATAGTAGGACAGTGAGGTTAATGCTCTAGATTGAGACTAACAAAACCCTATCAAGTGTAATGTTGGAACTTTGTTTGGTATTTGTTCATTTGTAGTATTGGGAATTGAATCCAGGAAGTGCTAAGCTACATTTCCAAGCCCTTTTTACCTTTTTTTTTGAGATCAGATACAGCTAAATTCTACAGGCTGGCCTTGATCTTGCAGTCCTCCTGCTTTAGCTTCTCCTTAGTACCTGGGCTTACAGGCATGTGCCTCCACACCTGGCTCTGTGGTTTTACCAAATAAACAACCAGGCATTTAAACATGGATTAGGTATTAGATAAACACAGAATTAACATTGATTCTTTCCTAGATATGATGATACTGAGATTATGTAAGAAAATATCTACACATTTTAGAAATGCATACTAAAATATGTAGATTGAAATGATGCTTTGTTTTATTTTTCTTCAGCAAAGATTAGTTAGAAAAAACACATGTGGTAAGGTACTAATAATAATTCTATCGTGGTAGTGGGTATATCAAATTCTTTGTCCTTTTAGTTGAAATTCTTTCAACTTGCAGCTTGTTCTTCCCATTTCCCCAATGCTCTTTTCAAAATACTTTGTATGTCCCATGCTCTGTATGTGATCTTCTGTTTTTGAGCACATATGCAAGATTTTTCTCATCCATCTGATGACTCTGGGAATTGATATTATAAATGACTTGTGGAGGCTGATATCTTTCTAATTTTTATGTTACTGATATAGCAAAAGTAGGAAAAACTTCATTTTGTATTTATGTATTTTTTTAATTTCAGATAATTTTGAATGTTACATGTTTACACAGGTTTTTTTTAGTTCCTCCAAAATAAAGTATGTTAATATTAGTAACTGTGTGACGCTTAAGATGTGAACTGTGTGACAGAATGTACGCTATACATTGCCAAAGAAGTCATATTAGAATTTAAGCTTGCCATGAAATAATCTGTTTATTATTTCACTATTTTCTTTTTAGAATCAAGATTTGTTTGCTGCATCACAAAATAAAGAATTTGATCCCCTTGGCCCTTTGCCACCTGGATGGGGTAAATCACATTAATTTTTTTCTTTAAGTTCTATCATTTTAAAATGTAGATGTTTATAGATCATAATCCACTTTTGTTTGAGTAAATAGCTGGGAACTTTATGGATGTGTCAGTTTAACTCAGTGCCAAACATGCATTAAAATCCCCAAACATTCTAGGTTGGCTTTTTCATTAAAATAAAGTTTAATTAGGAAATTAAAATTATTTAATTTTTCCAAAGTTTAAAAATACTGTTCACTCAGCAATAAAAAGTGAGTGAACTATTGATACAGCAATTTGCATGGACCTCAAGGCCATTGTGTGGTTTCATTGTTGTTTTTTGTTTTTGATGGTCCTGAGGAATGAACCAAGGACTTTACATTGAGATACATCTTCAGCCTTCTTTTATTTTTAATTTTGAGATAGGGTCTCATCAACTTTCCCAGGCTGCCCTTGAACTGGCATTCTTCCTGTCGCAGCCTCCTGAGTAGCTGGAATTACAAGTGTATACCATCATGCCCAGTAGAAAGCATTATGCTTAGTAAAGAAGTTGATCTCAGAAGATTCTATACTTGTATCACTCCAGTTTGTTATAACCAAATACCTGAAGCACTAGGTGCTTTATATTTACTTAGCTCATAGTACTAGAAGTACAAGGGCATGGTGCAGGCTTCTACATGGCTCTGCTGAAGACTTTATGTCAGATGGCCTCACACTGGTGAGAGAGGGAAATCATGTGGCAAGGCAGGAAGTTAAAAGTGAGACTTTAAATTCCTTCTAAGAGCACACCCACAGTGATCTAATTACCTGCCACTAATTTCTCTTTTTTTCTTTTTGAGACACGGTCTCACTGTGTAGTTCAAGCTGGCCTTGGATCCACTATGTGGCCCAGGCTGGCTTCTAACTCAAAGTAATCCTTTTGCCTCAGCTTTCCATAGTTTCTGACTCTTAAAGGTCCACCACCTCCCAACATTGCCACACTGAGGTCAAAGTTTTATAACCCTTGGAAAATACTCAAACCATATCCAAACTTCAATAGCACTATAAGATTAAATTTATATACCATTCTCAAAATGACAAAACTAGATGGACAACAGATTAGTAGAGATCAGGGGACAAGATGGGAGGGGAGTATCGATATAAACAGTAACATAAGATAGTTCTTAGGTGATAATGGGAAAGTTCTGATCTTTATTGTGGTAGTGATGACATTGAATCTGTACATGAGATAAAAATTTGTAGGATTATGTATTCATTAACATGAATTTACCTTTTAAAAACGGTGAAAATTGAGCAGTATAGTTTAACAGTAATGTACCAATGTCAGTTTCTTGTTTTTGATATTATACTATAACTACTTAAGATGTCACCACTGGGAGAAACTGCTTAAAAGGGTATGCTGAGACTGTAAAATTTTGTTTGTTTGTTTGTGGTGCTGGGGATTGAACCCAGGGCCTGAACACATGGTAGGTAAACACTCTGCTACTGAGCAACATCACCAACTTGGGTTCTTCTAAAGTACAGTTAAGAATTTGATTGACTTAGCAAACGACAGTGGAAGGAAAATATGTGAGGATGGTGACTTCATGCCCTCCACAATAGAGCACATGAATATACCCTGATATTGAATACTTTTAATATCTCAATTATTAAAACTTTATTAATATACTTTAAGATGGAGCTATCTTATCAAATTTTGTTTTATAATGATATACTGTATAATAGTCATAGCATTGTGGGAAGATTCCAGAATAAACATGGCAATACATGGAGTCCACAAAAAACGTGTATACATCAGGAAAAGAAAAACTTACATAAATATTTTAATACTAAATTTATTGAGACATGAGATTAATACAAGTTACCTTTGGCCTCTGTAATTACAAGAGGTGCTCAAAGTGGTGGCCATTGGCTTCCACACATTTATTATCATGGCAAACTGCTGAAGGTTGTATACTTTTTTTGACATACTCTGTACAGTTTTGGATAAAAGCTAAAGAGAATATAGTCAGTGGAAAACAGCAAGGTGAAGCCAATTATGGGGCCAGGTGTTTTATTTTAAAGATCAAATAATTTATTATATTCTGGTTAATTCAGAAAGTAATATTTCAAGACAGTCTTGTTTGGAAGCATTGGTCCCAAGATAAATTGCTGTAACACTACTGAGTAAATGAAGAAATATATTGACGTGTCAAGATCACATGAATCAGCAATAAGTGATACTAATTGTATAAATTTTGTTTGAGAAATCCCATTACTCATTCATTAAGGTTGTTTGTCCTCTAAACCCTACTTAGGTGAAAAATGTATTAGGGCCTACTTACAATTCTTATTGTTACTAACTTACAACAAAGGTAGGACATATGAAAGTACTTTCTATTTTTACCAAAGCCTGGTGGCATTCTGGATTTAGGAGGCATTAAATCTGACCTGTCAGATTATCTTCCTAGACATGGCTGGTTTGCTTGGCTATATTTCTGCAGTTATTGTATATCCATGTTATAGAAAGAGAAATTGATTCATTAGAAGAATATATGTGAAGGATGTATACTTACCTCCTTAATTATCTTGCAGAAAAACCTATATCCTACTTCATGGTGGTGGTCAAAAACAGAGACTATTTTACTCTTCTAGAGCAGCCATAGGAAAAATTACTTGCTCATAGAAGCCTGACTTGTGGTCTGTGTTGCCTTTATTAGAAAAGCTTTCTTTCCAGTCCTTGCTTGCTTGCTTTATCATTATCTTCATCATCTAAATCTTTCACATTTTTGCTTTAGGCAATGACACTTTCCTTAAAATACTACCTTTAAAGTCCCCACTTATCTAGGTTATCAGCTTCTTGCCCTGCTATTTTACAGTTTGCCTATTTTTAGGTGTCATACACCTAAAGTTGAAATGCTGTGCCTTTCTTAAATGAGTTCACAATCATCCCCCTTCTCAGAGTAAGCATGACTTCATGACTCCCTGACTTTGGGACGTATGTCTTACTTGTAGAACCAGGGACAACACTGGTCCTGTATCAGATGAGATCCACCTGATACACCTTCAGTATTGACACAGGACATAGAATCTTGTTTTAGAGCCTGTGTTTTCATTCTGAGGTTGGCACCATTATTTTTGTGACAACATATATATTTAAATCAAACATTGTAACCATCTCCAGCTTTTACATGCCAGGGCTAGACATTACCACTTTATAAGCTGACAGTAAAGAACTTCTAGCACACACACACGCCACAGGGGCTAGAGAACAAAGAATGCTCTTGGTTCACAAGGTAGTTTAATAAGGCTTTGTATAGCTAGTTTACCCATCAAGTGTAAAGATATTTTCTCATTTTCATAATTGTTGTAAAAGAATACATAGAGTAGCAAGAAGATTCTACTTTTTACTGCTTTATTCATTGAGCCAAGATGTCCATTGAGATTTGATGTTCAGTAGTGTCAGTATTTTTTATTACGTGATTTTTTTCATAAAAATGAGAAATCAACTCTGTAGTCATAGCCTTTCCTCTCAATACTTGTATGAGCCTTCAGTTTTCAAGTGTGTACATCTTTGAAATTTTGTTTTTCATAACCTGAGAAATGCTAGCACCTGCAGTATATACTTAGAATATATATGGGAGTCAAATTTGTTACTAACTTTGTCTTGCATCATGTTAGTTTCTGAAGGGAAAATCTCTGACCTTGAAATCTGAATAGGCATGACAGAAAAGATGAATATATGCTCAGCTGTGCTCTTAGGTCATTGCTTCTATGTTATAAAAATTACTTTAGGGCCAGAGATTTAGCTCAGTGGCACCGCCCCTGCCTTGCAAGCTCAAGGTCCTGAGTTCAATCCCTGGTACCAATATGTGTGTGTGTGTGTGTGTGTGTGTGTGTGTGTGTGTGTGTGTGTGTATA